CAACATCTGTTACTTGTGATGTCGTGTCAAACATTTATCATGCTAAAAAAAATGCAAATGTCCAGTAAAATGGGAAAGAACAAAGTTTTATAATTTCAGCCACTTAATATTTTCTGATTTTGACAGAGTATTATCTTGTCACTAAACCTTTCAGATTGAAGATCCTCTGGCAGAAGCTTCAAAGTACCTCAAACTTCTCCTAAAGCACTCGTCAGATTGCTTGGAGACACATTTGCTGTCCTTTGAAGTAAACATGAGAAAGCAGAAGATCTTGCTTGCGTTGCAGGTAATTTCCTTTATAATTTAACTGCAGGTTGGAAAAATTCACTATAAATAGTTGGGTCATGTTCAATGTAGATCCTTAAATGCTCCGCCATTGAGTATGTTAAAAAGGATGAGGTAGACCTCTCATCATATGGAGGGTAGTTTTCTCAAAGACTTATGTAGAACATAATGAAAGCATGGAATCAATTAATCTTTATAGGCGATACCGAGAACTAAGGTTTAGTCATTATTGGTACTTTTGTATCATGTCCGGTCAGCAGTGATTGATATGGGCCCTTTTAGTCTTGGTTAGAGATTGTATGCGGGGTCAGGATAAGTGTGAGGTTTAATAGTATTCCTAGTTTCACGAATTTAAGTGTTAGAATGGAACGGGCACCTAGACGTAACGTAATGGTTATTGAGGATTCGTTTGCCTGACCCTCATCTAGTTTGAGATTAGGACGTACTCATAGTACTAGTTGTTTTGTGAATACTGATAAACAATCTCTTTGATCTTTGCTCTTTTCCAGGCTATAAAGTATTTAATGCGGTTGGATGCAGATGATCCAAAATCACATCTGTGCTTGGTATGCTTTTTTTGATATCAAATTTTTTAATAATAATTGTTTTATAGTATTCATGCTTTATTCTCAAAGTATTCGTATTTGCTTCTTTCTCATATGGACTATGATCTCTTCCAGATAAAGTTCTTCCATAAAATTGACTCCTTGACTACTCCAGTAACTGATACTGAAAAGCTCATCTGGGGTGTCTTGGAAGCAGAGCGACCTACCTTTAGGTTATCTTGAATGCACTTCCCTTTCTCTATGTATCTTATGTTTAAATGTTATAAATGTTGATATTCTACATGTTGGATCTTGTTATTAGACTAAGATTTCTGTATGTTTCTAATTGATCTTTTCAGTCAGTTGCACGGGAAATCTCTAATTGACGCAAACAACACTTTTTTTGAAAAACATAGAGGTCAGTGTCTGACAGGAATAATACTTTATTAGTTTATACGTGTATTTTACATCATTAGTATTTTCTCATTCTTGGTGAAAATATTATTTCTCATTGCACGGTATTTGCAGAATCATTGATGCATAGGGCTGCTGTGGCTGAGTTGCTATATGTTCTGGAACCAAACAAGAAGGCTGAGGCTGTCAAACTGATTTTAGACTCGGCTAATGATCTGGTTTCTATGTATGATTCTGCTTTCATCACATTAATTTGTATTATCATCACATAGCTAATAATATTTCTTTATATATGCGTGTTAGCAAAACATCAACTCTATTTTAACTTTTTCTCCAAATTAGAGATGGGGCACAAGGAAATGTCAGTTCGTGGAAACTGAATGACTGCATTACAGTTCACAAACTCCTCGGGACAACTCTGGCTGACCGTGATGCAGCATCCAGTAGGTTCTTTACATCCTTCTCTAATTTTTCATACTGTACATCTTATTACTTTCGTCAGAGGTGAGGACAGTAATCCTTAGATTGGGTTTTATGACCAACAACTCCCTTATGGTTTGAAAAGTTTCGCTGTCCCTTTGAAACTATTCCAAGTTAAAATGGGGTTGTATGAGACACCTATGCATCTATGTCCACAATGGATACATCATGTTGCTTATACATGTTGAAGAAGTTTCTGCCTGTCATACAGTGCATATGCCAGAAATTTCTGCCTTAAATACAGCCAGATTGCAGAAGGTTTCCTTTTTTTTTTTGTTGTTGATAAAGCAGATTACAGAATGTTTCTTTTTTGTTCTGTTCTTACCTGTCATGGTTTTCCCGTAGTTTTCTTAGAGGTAAGAGAGTATACATATTCCTTAAATCTATGAGAGATGGGGCATGCATATGCTACTTGCATGTCCACCTATATTAATGAAAAAGAAGAGTCTTGACAAAATCACTAAACCTTTTTCCACTGCACTGTTTATTCTTGTGAATTGTATTGACTTCAGAATGGCTGAGTGTATCTTCAGACCACTATTAACTGGTAGTTCTATCAATTTTCTCCCCGTCCAAAAAAGGTATGACGTATTCTTTACTGTTGCGGAGCTATAAAGTTTGATGTGTGAATTGTTTAAAAAATTGAGTTAGGTGTTGAAGTGTTTAAAGTTTGAAAATGAATGAATCAGTCTAAATGATGTCATCTCAGTGTATAATATATGTGGTCTATCGTTAAGTTTTGGATGGAGGAAAGTCGCCATATAAGGTAAGAGTTAAAGTGCCCTGGGAGACTGGATAATTTGTACACCAGTAGATAGATTTTGTTACCATTCACTTGAGACTCCTATTGGTAAGATCCACATAGATAAATAGTAGTGGCATGAGCCATAGTACCTCACTGCGCCATAAGATCATCTTGATCGTTTCCGTTCTTCTTAGCTCAAGTGGATATGTATACATCCAAACAGTCCTTTATTTTAGGCCAAGACACTAACCAATTTTAACCTTAACTTCAATCTTCATTGTAGTTGAATGAGACCATCTTGCTTGGTGCACTTATTTAATAGCTTGTTTATTTGAAAAATATGCATCTCTGTGTTTCAGTGAATTATTGTTCGGGGGTGCGGTCCCCCCCAAACCCCCCTTTAATCTCTGATGAAATTTTGGGTAATGGTATTATAAGCATCAAAGTAACAAATGATATAGATCCACCGTGTCCAACAGGAGTGACACCTAGAGGAAATGGCTTTGTAGTATAGGCAAAGCTTCTTTAAGTCTTTCCATGGCCTGTTGTTGAGGTAAAGTTAAGTGCGTGCATGTGTTTTGACTCTGGTTTTGGTATATCATTGTTGTAGTCTGTTCTTTTTTCATGTATTCCTTTTCTGTTGATTTGGGTGGTTGCTGGGTATATTAATTTTCTGTTGATACCTTTTTGTTAAATACATAGTAACAGTCAATTTTACATGATACTTGGTGATTCTATGGGTGCTGATGTTTTTGAGGCATTGTTGTAGGATGGAAAGTTCGTTGCGCTGAGTACTTCTCGTACTCGATTTACTTTGGAGGTATTCGAAGCTCCGCTGCTACAAGTTCAGCTAACAATCAGATACAAAAATCCGCTGCAAATGGAGCTGCAGGCTTAAATGCTGATGGAGATGCTCTTTCATCAAATGGGAGATTAGAGAAACTAAACACGCTTAAGGATCTGCGCATCTAATTATACACATTGACCTGAAGTAATCTCTCTGGAAGAGCACTGGAGAAGCTAACTGGAATTGTATCGAGCTTCTAGAGTATACACTGACATCAATAGGATGGTTCGAGAGGAAAATTTTCAGGTCTACAGAGGATGTTCTTGTTGCTTGTAAGACTGGTTCTCTACCCCTGATTTTGACATGAAGATGGTAGTATCACTCTCGTCTTGCCAGGGGCCGGGTCAAATACCAGGAAAGTGTTTGTGGCTTGGCGCAAAGCATTTTCAATGAAATGCGAGCTCTCAGAAGTCGTATGGATCCTGCATTCGATCAGCATAGAAAAAAGATGACTTCAAAGGGCATGTTGTATTTTTCCATTTAGTTCTCCAATTTTTATTTGTACAAATGCTTCTTATGTGAAATGAATTTTGCAATAGTATTCAGAGAAAACGATAAATTCATGCGGGTGCAGTGCTGTATTTCTTTTAATTGTGGATGATATTTATGTCCCGTTGTAGAACTAACGGACTAATGTGAAAGAAAGGGGCTTGACTAAAGGTTAGAACGTTGGTCTCGAGGTGATCCTTTGTGTGATTCTTTTCTTCTGTATTTTCTTTAAGAAAGCTTCACGTCAAATAACTATCTGCACATCATCCTATGCCTGCTGCGTAAATTTTCATTACTATAAACAATCTGAATCTGATTGAGGACCAGTCATTCGATGAGCAGCATATGTAATAGTCCCACATTTCTTTCATCAAGATTGCTAAAGCAATAGTTAAGTGAATGTTTAATTAAGCCTAAATTGGAGATATCTAAACATGCCTATGAAAAGAAACGGGTTGGTTGAGTGCATATATCTTAAGAGATTTACTAGTATACTACTCCTATGGTAATGTGAAAAAAGATTTACATTATCAGATGACTTAAAAGTTAGTTGAAGCAAGCATGCTTTGGATGGTAGCTTATAGTATATGATAAATGACTTTTACCAGTAGATAATAGTGTTATTTTTCTTACACAGACTCGTTTCTTATTCATAATCCGCAACGTTCCAGCTTGAAAATTACTTTTTCGAATTGTATTTTTACTTCTTGATAACCCGTACTTCTCTTTTGGTCAATTACGATCATTCTTGTTTTACTTTTGTTTTTCTTTTGCACATTTTCTTTATTCTAATTTCCCCCACTTTAATAGTTCATATGTCTGATCCGTAGGGAATTAAGACCTTTATTACAGATCCGTCGTTAAACTTAGTAATACTCCATGCAAATTCATAAGGAGCTTAAGATAGATCATTGATATAAACAAATTTCTGAATATTTCTAGAACATCATATTTTATCTTTTTCCATATCTCAAATTTTAAGTAATAAAGACCGCATTAATGACAAATTACTTTGAAATCTGCCTCATACAATTGTTGGAATAAAATTAAAAAGTACCGGCAATTAATAGCATTTGAACACGTGTAACAAAGACGATCCTTTCTGCCCAACGTATGTTTTGTAGAGCTCAGTCTGCTGTTTTGTGTCAGTGAAAGAGAGAAAAATTTGAACTTTGAGTAAAGCAAGAAATAAACAAGTGTAGTAGAACTAGAAACCAGAGAAAAATGGGGAAGAGAGGAAGACGAAGAAGAGATGAAGCTCAAGAAATTACAAGACCTGAACAAGGAGAGACTTATCGACAATATTCTCAACAGCAGCAAACAAGGGCTCCTCCTATTGGGAGTGAAAGAGTGAAAATGATGAAACTAGAAGCCAGACTAAACGCTGCTTCATCTCTTCAAGCTGCACTATCACCACCTCCGGTAAAACTCTTCAGCTCTACATTTTTTTGTGTTCATATCCTCTTTTTCTGGTTCAGAGAAAACAAAGGGTTTGTTCTCTAAACCCCTTAAGGACTTGGAGATTGTTTTTTTCCCCCTTGATTTGTTTGTTTTCTTTCTTCTCTTTGGTTTTTCTGTGGTAAGGTTGTATTGCATGTTACATTAACTGAAATGTCTATTAGCAAAAAATAAAAATCTAAAATGTGTTAACTTGTGTTAAGAGGTGTTGAAGAGGTTTTAGGATGTATGCTCTGTTTTAGAGGTAGAGGGTTTATTCATCTCAATCCTATTGCTAAAATTGCAAACGACTCCTTTTAGAAAAGATTCTGAACTGAAGTTCAAAAGGATTTTGGTGATTTTCGGCTAGTGGGTCATTACATAAATATTTGCATGAGATGCATTTAAATGGAGTAACCTGGTCCGTGAGGATTCATATAACCGACCCCAACTTGTTTGAGAATCAGACATAATTATTTGGGACTGAGGCATAGTTGTTGTTGTTGTTGTTGGGTCATTACATGAATGCTAAAATTAGCATGATTTCATAGGTTATATATTTGCTCTGCTGAGATATTTGAGAGGGCAAAATATAAAAAGAGGAACAGGAGAATGCAAACATGTTTGGCTTTATGTTCTTTCAATACAAAAAAATAGTATACTCCCTTAGGGATATGCTTTTTCCTGTAGGTATCTAACGGTGTTTTAAGATTTATCCTAAAAAAGCCATTTTCCATTGGCACGATCTGTTTGCTCCGAACTATTAGAATAAGCTACACATATATGTTTGGACTTTTGGAGCTACATTGCTTGCTGTTCATCACCACAATATTGTAGCACTTGGATTGCATGACATGTCGAATGGCTTCGCTAGTTCATGTCAATTTCATATATACCATAAAGCTGCTTATATGGTTTTCCTAAGCCCCCAACATAGACAAATAGACTTGTATTAACTAACTGCCTATTTCTTTTTGTTTTGACAGGGTTTTGCGCCATCAGATACTTCATCTCCCAATCCCAGGTATCAAACTCGCAATTATTTAAAGGCAGTCCTTAGCCAGTGTAAGTTTATGACTGCAACATCAAGGTCTGCAGTTCGACATGTTAAGGTATTCTATTGAAACTTTCTCAAACTCTTTTGATAAGTACGAGCGAACTTTCATCAATAGTAGCACCGAGAAGGTGCTAAATATTTACAACCAATAATTTACAGAATACTCTTCAACTAAGAGAGTCCATGAAATCCACACAAGAGTGCACACACCACTATCCAAGGACATACTGGACCAAATTTTCAAGTTCTGCAAACATCTAAATTTAAAGCAAAAAATAGCTGTGGCTTTGTCTTGAAAATTCTGTCCTTTTACCAAGCTCAATGGTGTGCAGTGCTGTTTTGTGTGAGTGATAGATTTGTGCTTCCTCATCTTTAACTTCTTTAAACTGCACACTGACTGTGTCACTCGTCGACTTCCCAGTCAAACATATTCCTTCTGAAATTATTGTAGCAGATAGAGAAATATAGTTCAGTGTCTGACATGCCAAAGTGGGAGTATATAACTTTGGGTGTGACTCTGTAGAATGAGGCTGTGATGAGTATTTATCTTTAATCTTTATATCTCTCAACATTTTTTCTGCGGTCCTTTCTGATAAAGTTATAGTATACTTCATTTAATAACGAAATCAGTCTAAACTTGGTTTGTTATTCTACAGGCGTCGTATTCTTCAATTGCTACTTGTGACTTTCCTGCTCACCCTATCACTGGAATCTCTCATGCAACAAATGAGAAGGTTGATGATTCCGTGCATGCAGAACTTAATCATCATTCTATTCTATCAAACCATGGCACCTTGGATGTGGAGAATCAGCAACCGGGGCAACACACCGAAAAAGCTCCTTTCCCTGAAGTTGTAGTTGAGAACAATGCAACACAAAGTAAGGCTGATGTGGTTTTAGATGCTAATGCAGAACTTAATCATCATTCTATTCTATCAAACCATGGCACCTTGGATGTGGAGAATCAGCAACCGGGGCAACACACTGAAACAGCTCCTTTCCCTGAAGTTGTAGCTGAGAACAATGCAAAACAAAGTAAGGGTGATATGGTGTTAAATGCTAATGCCACCGAACCAGAATCCAGAAGCAACCAGAGTGGTGCGCATCCAACAAAAACCATGAGCCTTAATCTTACAAGGATGGCTGCACTTATGAATGACTATTCTTCTGATGCTGATGAGGTTGGATCTCAACCTGCTCATCTGTCAGTCGTGGTTAACGGTTACAGAGTTAAGGAGGAAGCAGCACCTGTTCTCCAGAAGATCTTCCTCAAGTACGGAGACATTGCGAAGAATAGCTCTTTCTCTTCAGTGAATATTTCTTCATCGCTCCTGGAGTTATTTTGTGACATCTATAAGAAATTGGAGGAAACAGATTTCCGAAGCATAAACCCCAAGGAGCTCCAATCCATGCTTGATGAAGTTAGAGATCTCGAGTCTGCCAACATAGATGTAGGGTGGCTCAGTCGAAGGTTGAATGATATCTCTCAGGCCAAGCAACTTGTCAAGGACAGTCGCAAATTGAAGGAGGCAAAAACCAGGAACCTCGCAGTGATGGAGACAAGCAAGAAAGAGCTGGAGGAAATGAAGGAAGAGTGGGCCGCTTGTGTTGCAACATGCCATGTTTTGCAAGAAAGAATCCGCAAAAAAGAGGATGAGTTTGGCATTGCGCGTTGTGAAAACGAAATGATCATGCAGCAATTTGAAGATTCAAAGGCCAAGGTGAATGATTTCCTCAAAAAGTCCTTGGTCCATGACCTTCTTTGAGCAACCTGGTGTTTGTGATTTTTTGTCTTGGATAGGACCCTATGAATGGTCTTTTTGAGTACTTCTTAATCCCTTTGCTAGTACTAGGAGTTCTATTATCCTATACATACAATTGGGCCCCAACTGCATATGAGTTCTAGAAGATATCAGTACTCTCTTAGTAGCTGCATTGCAACTTAATTAAGGGAACAAAGGATGTTTACTTGAGTTATTTTCTCCTTATCCTTCTTTATTTCCTGCTAATTATCTCCTCGTGTCTACTCTTTTGCATATCCAGAGTATCCATTGCTCACAAGGTGCAGGAACATTCTTGCTTCTACTCTTTTTCTTTTTCAAATTTCTTTATGTGAAGTTTAAACTTAAGCTGGAGTTATAGTGCAGCCAGTTCAAGCAACCAAGCACTTATAACACACAGCATTTCATAATCAATTTAAGTCATTCTTGTTTTCTGAAATGCAAAGACCTTGGATTTCTCACTTCTGCTGCTGTGCCACCAGCCTTCTATCAGTTCAAACAATTGGCAGATTTTTTTGGCTGTTATGAGTTCATTCACATTGACGAATGGAGAACGAAGATTGGCCAAGGAGGTTTCACTGTCGATAGAAAAAACGACCATCACGATGTCCAGCTTGGACATCACAGTATATATTTCCCAACTTTGTAGGAACTAGCACGAGGTGTATAGCCGACCCCATCTTGTTTGGGACTGAACATCGGAACTGTCACTAGCAGTAAAGGCAAGAATGGTCTATTTTCGGTATAATTAATCCCCTTTGCTTGTGACTTTTGAATTATATGATTGTCGAATTAATGAATTTGATGTGAAACTAACTGATCACGATTAGCTTTAAGATTTTTGAATGACCATATGCTTGAGTGGTAAGTGAAACTGTCTTACAGGACCACATAATGTGTAAGCTATAGATATTAAGCGGTTTTAAAACCAAAAACCGAAAAATCGAAACCGAAAGCAAATCGAAAAATCAAATGCACAATCCTCTAGTCCAAGATACTTATTAAAACCCTTAAAACGCAGTGAAATAACTTTTTTACTATTTGTTAATTTATTGTCTCATTGGGTTTGCATATGAAAAGAAAGAGCTCATATTTGTATATTTCTTTTTGAAGAGAGATAATATTTATGCTTATACTATGATAATTTTTTTTAATACTATCAATCACTTAATAAAAATATGATAAATAACCTATAACAGTAAATAAAATTCTTTATATTATTATTGTGTATAAGGTAAACTCATTTCTTAATCACAATCCACTCATGCTTGAAAAATCACCTTTTTCGAATTTTATTTTTACTTTTTGATAAATTTGTACTTTTCTGTAGTCAATTCTGATAATTCTTGTTTTCCTTTTGCACATTTGTTTATTAAAATATACTTATTAGTACTGATTTAAACAAATACTACCGAATATCTCTAGGACATCATATTTTATCGGGAAAAAAAATCAGAAATAACCATATTTATAACTGGTAATTGAAAAATAGCCACAATTTCAAAAGTAATCGAAATTTAGCAACTTTTCATTTATAGATAAAATTTGAACAAAAACACTCTTAAAAATCCGAAAATATTCCAGTATAATATGCTGGAGTTCGAATTTTTTTTACATATGGGCTTCCAACATATAATATGCTGGAATTTTATAATGTGCTGGAGTTCCATCATAATATGCTGGAAGTTTATATGCAGGAGCTCCATAATCCCGCATATTATGCTGGAACTTTTCGTGTGCTGGAGTTCCAACATAATATGCTGAAAATTTATACGCAGGAGCTCCATAATCCAACATATTATACTGGAACTTTCTGTGTTTCAGCAAAGCAATGACTATTTTTTAATGACTTTGCAAACGCTAGTTATTTTTCAATTACAAACTAGCCCGTGCTATTTTTACTATTTTATCTTTTTCCATCTCTATAACATTTTAAAAGTTTATTAAAGATCACATTAGTAGCAAATGTTTCTGAAACCTGTCTTATACAATTGTGGGAATAAAAGTGCAGGCAATTAATAGTATTGAAACACTTGTAAGATAGAGGATTCTTGCTACATAACGTATCCTCTTTGCAGAGCACCAGTACTAGTGGTTTGCTGTTTTGTTTGAGTGAGAGAGTAACATAAAGAGAAAAAATGGGAAAGAGAAGGAGACCAAGAAAAGATGTAGCTCAAGAAAGGCGAAGAGACTGGAGAACACTCTTAATTAGAACCATTCTTCCCCCATGAGACAACATTTTACCTTGCAGTTACTAAGTTTTGTGTGAAGTTACCCTGCTAGAATATCACTGTGCTACTCGTGAACCTCCCAGTCAAACACATTCCTTTTGAAATTATTATAGAAGATAGAGAAATATAGTTCGTTGTCCGACATGCCAAAGCGGTAGTATATAACTTTGGATGTGTGACTCTACAGAATGAGGCTAGTTTTACATCACTTAACATTTTTTCTGCAGTCCTTTAAAATGGCTTTCGGTGTATACTTTTCATTTATTAACGAAATCAGTCTAAACTTTGTTTCTTATTCTACAGGCGTCATATCTTTCCAGTGCTACTCATGACTTTCCTGCTCATCTTACTACTGGTGACTCCGTGCGTGCAGAACTTAAACATCAGTCGATTCGGACAAACCATGATGGATTGGGTGCGGAAAATCAGGAAGAAACTCAAACAGCCCCTTCTTTCCCTGAAGTTATGGTTGAGACAAATGAAACACTAAGTAAGGCTGATGTGGTGTTAAATGCTAATGCCACAGAACCGGAAACCAGAAGTGAGCAAAGTGGTGCGCTTCCAACAAAATCCATGAGTCTTAACCTTACAAGGATAGCTGCACTAATGGATGACTATTCTTCTAATGCTGATGAGGTTGGATCAAGACCTGATCACCTATCAGTCACAGTTAACGGTTATAGAGTTAAGGAGGAAGCAGCACCTGTCCTCGAGAAGATCTTCCTTAAGCACAGAGATATTGCCAAGACTAGTGTGTACGAAAAAAACAGAGCTCGGTGTTCGATCGAGCTTGTGGAACGGAGGGCCAAGGTCGGTACGTCTGTAATTGGATAAAAATCGAAGTCCGAGGTTCGATCTGACATCCAACATGGTCAGCCGAGGGCGGAATATAATATTCAAGATCGGACCCAAAGCATCATCAAAACTAGCTAGCGAGATTATCAGATTTGCCCTCGAGTCTATCGAAGGCGTAACTGGTCCTGTTTCTGACGGTCTCGAACAAAGCTCTGCCAACTCATGCGACAGAGGTCCGTGATTCTTGCCATTAACCAATTATTGTGGCAGAAATCACAAAATTAGTCAAAAAGGGAACCAACAATCTTCAAAATCAAGGACTTATATTTTTTATAGTACAATAAAAATAATACCCTAGAGGGTAGGTCTCCCTCAATATATAAAGGGGAATTGACAATTCATTAAACACATTGTAACACATATAAAAAAAGCAATATACTGTTATCTCTAGCTTTGTCACAATTCATTTTACTCCGGCATTGATAATATTAGTTCTAGCTCAAGGGAGATTATTCTCACAAGGCTAGGATTGCTCAACTTGCGTGGTTTGCATTTATCTTTTATCTTTTATTCCCATAATTACTCTGATTTATTATTCTGTATCAAATTAGATCACATATCCTTAAAATCGCGTACTAATTCAATTGTTATCCGATTTTGAGGGTAAATAGTTTGGCGTCCACCGTGGGGCTAAGGGTAATAGTGGTTATTTGATACAAATCTCTATAACACATACTACTTTACACTTGCTCTTTGAAGCGTCTTTGATTTCAGGACAAAAATGACAAACTCTCAATTAGCACCCCTACATATTGATAACGAATCCGGTCATCAAGGTGAGAATAACAACATGGTGCCCGGTAACGTTGGGCCACCCGCTGATCCTGTTGAAATTCGGACCATGGATCCGATTGATGTTAATTTGCATGTGGCCATCGAGGCGAACTTGCCTACCGACCCTGAAAATAACATCCGTGGTGGAGCCCGATCGGCAGCTCGGAACACGCAAAATATTGAAGAAGACGGAATCAACCTACGGATGATCTTCAAAATGCTACAAGCTAAACAGGTGGCGATAGCTCAGTTGCAGAGCTAAAGCCAGGCACCAAGTAGGGTTGAACCCGATCCGCCCCGAGAAGCCACCCACAGAACTGAAACGGTTGTAGTAAGGTCGAATGAACAAGAATCGGGAGCTAACCCCAAGATTATAAAGATGCTCGAGGAGCTGACAAAGTGGATAGAATTAGGGGGAAAAAAAATCGAAGCAAACGACAAAAAGGTAGAAACCTACAATTCCAGGGTAGATCAAATCTCAGGAGCACCTCCGATATTGAAAGGACTGGATTCCAGGATGTTCGTGCAAAAACTTTTTCCCCCAAGCGCGGCTCCGAAGTCGATCCCCAAGAAATTTCGTATGCCCGAAATACCTAAGTATAACGGGACGACCGATCCAAACGAGCACGTAACCTCTTATACATGTGCCATCAAAGGGAATGACTTGGAAGATGACGAGATCGAGTCTGTTCTACTAAAACAATTTGGGGAGAACCTATCAAAGGGAGCCATGATATGGTATCACAACTTACCTCCTAATTCTATTGACTCATTTGCTATGCTTGCAGACTATTTTGTAAAAGCACATGCCGGTGCCATCAAGGTCGAAACCAGGAAATCGGACCTTTTCAACGTCAAACAGAAGGACAACGAGATGCTCAGGGAATTCGTGTCTCGTTTTCAAATGGAACGAATGGATTTGCCACCAGTCGCTGATGATTGGGCCGTTCAAGCTTTCACTCAGGGACTCAATATTCGAAGCTCAGTGGCTTCACAACAATTGAAGCAGAAATTGATAGAGTACCTTGCCGTTACCTGGGCTGATGTACACAATCGGTATCAATAGAAAATCAGGGTTGAAGATGATCAACTCGGGGCCCCTTCGGAGTCTGTTTATCCTGCCAGAACCCTCGACAGAGTCAAAAGAGACATCGATCGTGAACCAGAATCGAACAGGGATTAGTATCGGCCATATAATGGAGATCGGAGGAGTAGTGGGTCCGGGCGGAACCCCATAAGAAACAAAAGGAGAAATGAACAAGGTTAAAGCAACCGGGGGCTCATGACCAAAAACAGCTTCG